GGGGTCCCAGTATTGAGTTACTATAACTGTCTTCAACTACGGCGCTTGGTAAGGAAGGCTCTTACAGTATTTTAATTTGTGAAAACAATGTGTCATGAAAATTTCATTTAAATTACGTAAGCTGTCTATTTACCTATTTATTTAAAACCACTCAGCACATGTACTGGTCTTCCGTGTTTTTTTTTGCTTCCAACTAAGCTCTAGGCCTGTGCTAGGATATGGTTCACGACAATAGTCGAATGGCGGGATTCGAACCCTCGACCGCAAGATCGGTAGTCCGTACCCCAAACCATTAGGCTATTGGCGCTTTAATTAGATAAAATAGAAAATATTTCGAGATACAATTAAAGATAAGCAGGCCAATTTCACAAAAAATAAAGAAATAGAACGTAGTAAAATTCTTTCAATTATGTACTAGCTTTCGCGCGCGACTCTGTGCGCTTGGAATTAAAAAAAAAACAAAAGTGAGCAGCCTATGTGTTCTTCCAGAGTATACTCTACGTCTATGCTAAATTTCATCGAGGTACGTACAGCCTTTTAGGCTACAAACTCTAACAAACATCCATCCACTCATCCATCCATCTATCTAAACTTTCGCATTTAAAATATTAGTAACATAAGTAAGATTTGGATTACAAAAAATAATTTAATAAACATTACGCGGTTCGTGTTTTATTCTTTGTAATTCGTCACAGTTCGCAAGCGTGAAGATAGCGAATAATTCTAATAATAGCAAACCTCTGTCTAACTTCTTTATATTTTTCTCATGCTTTTTATTGCTTCGATCTCCAATAAACACATTGATCGTCAACAAAAGAAACCGATGTTTGGACTTTAAACTGTTCAACCAGAAAATACTTAGTAAATTCCCAGACGGGGTCTATAAAGCCACAACAAGGAGATTAAAGGTCGCTTGAGGGGTTATTCGCAAATCTTTCGATATTAACCCTTCAATAGCGATGGGTGACAATTTAACGAGCGTTTTCTAATGGACCATTGATCTATTTTTTTGGTGCTACCAGATTTAAATCTACTAACAATAAGAACGCCTTTCATAGCTTTGCTCTCGGTGTGATGATCGCCTTTTTTTAACTGACAAATGTTCGTACATTACATAATCTTACTTACATTATAAATGCGAAAGTTTAGAAGGATGGATAGATGTTTGTTAGAGTTTGCAGCCTAACGGATCTCCAAGAAATTTGGTATAAACGCAGAGGATAGTCTGGAAGAACACATAGGCTGTTTTAGTTTTTTTTAATTTCGCGCGGACGTAGTCGCGGGCGAATGCTAGTATTAGAAAATTTAATAAGCATTTATCCTAATCTGATAAAAATAAATGGAATATTCCAGTTTACCATACCTACTTTCACGAATCATCAAAATTTTTTGAATTAGAGAAATTTGGTCTCAGATGTGATTAAGACAGCGTAAACAAAATACTTATTATTGCAATTAATGAACTCTTAAATTGATTCTTCTTCAACGTAAAGGAAACTAACATTAGTTCTGTTTCGCCCTCCTTCAATATTAGACAGAACGCCTGTCATATTTTCTTGATGTATACGAGTTTGCATTCCCAAGGGCCGACTAATTTCGCTAGCAGCTCCAACTCAATTTGTCCCGGGCACATTAAGCGTAACTATCGCGACACGGTTGCTAGATGGTCGGCTTTTTACGACCTCGCTACGGGTTCGATTCTGATCCTATTTCTCCACTCTCTCTACAGTTTCAATTTACAAAATTCTTTTTTTCTACGTCGACTTCCTTATTCACAGTATTACGTATGAGTATGGTTATAAAGTTCATTTTTCTTTGAAGTTTTAGACAGATGTGACATTTATCAAACGGAGGTAACCAATCATCGCTGACCAATACGAAAATTAGTTGTATTGGGAAAGTAGACTTTGTTGGTTTGTTTTTAAGGTTGAATTTGGATTGTTGATTTGTAGAGTTAGTTTAGTAGGGGGTCAAGGCGTTAGTAGCCGTATTGCGGGTTTGATTCCCAGGTGTACGGGGCGTCGGGACACGTACGTGAACACTTAAAGACAGACACTTCTAAGATGAAGGGAGGTCCGTCATAAAAATTGGACAGAACAAAAACATTAGAGTCGACTTGCAATAAAATCATTTATTATGTTGTATTTTTGTTCAAAAAAGGCAGTTATAAAGTAAAGTATATATGTAGTCTATGACAACAATCTCTATGACAATAGTCTATGGTGAGAATCTCCAGTAACATGCACTTGTGTATTTATAAATAAACTTAAAAGTGATTGTCGTAATAACTAATTTCTATTTTATAATAATAGTTATGTTTCATGTGTATATCTATTACAGTATCATTGCACTGGAATTAGTAGATACTTACTTTCTTACTGCGTTGGCGTAGTGACCCAAAGAGAGCGCCAGCGTCGTCTATCCTGCGTCGTCGCCTGCCAGTCGATCGACTTTAGCTCGCGCAGTACTTCCAATTAGAGATACAGAAACTTTTTTTTTAATTCGTCCTAATTTCACTTATTTTATCTTACTTCTTACTTATAATATAATAAATGCGAAAGTTTAGATGGAAGGATGGAAGTTTGTTAGAGTTTGTAGGCATAAATGTGGAGCATGTGTGTAGTGTGGAAGAACACAGACTACTCACTTTTTTTAACTTTACGCGGACGGAGTCACGGGCGAAAATTATTAACTAGATAGTTTAAATAATGGTCAATATTGTAAATCTTCTAAGTTATTGTTTAAAACCAATTTTTTCAAGACGTATTTCATCGCATCTTATATTTCACACTAAATATCTATTTAGAATCGAACCTTATAAGACATAAATTAAATACAGTTTTATTTACCATAATTACATTAACAGCTCACGTTATTGAATAACACACCTTATATCCCGTACTTTAAGGTTGAAAATGTTTTGTTGCATTCACCAACCCTTGGACGATGTTTAACTTATTTTAAACAATTTAATGCCCCTGCCCAAAGCTGACCAAACCCTCGGGTAACATTAAATCAAACACAATGCTCCGCTTGTTTATACGTAAAACGTTTAGTTCGTGTATCGGAAAATTTGATCTTATATCGTTTGAAGGGATTGTGTAGAATTTCTTTATTTTTAAGAGTTATTAGTCCCTTAACTGTACTTAAACTCTGATAAGGTAAAGCTTTGGAGTTATTTATACTACTTCTGTAGAATAACCGTAGAAAATTTTAAAATGGAATTCGAGAAGCACTGAGAGTTCTTTTAAATACTAAACCAAGGAACAGAAGTTCACTGTTTTGTTTATTTTTATAGATAAAATTACGATATTTTATATTTGTATAAAGTTTTTATGCGATTAACTAAACTACATCCGCGTGTATGTATGGAATCGCGGCTGTAGCCCGAAATTCATACAAGCGGAATTAAAACAAAAACGCAATAAGTCTTTTTCTAGACTACATTCAACATCTATGCCAAATTTGAGCGAGATATGTAAAGCTGATCTGATGATGTCACAAACATTTTGCCGTAAACTTTCGCACTTACAACTTAGTAAGATTAAAACTAGCCTAGTCTTCGTTATTAGTTTCAGACTTTAACTATTAAAAACAAAGATCTCCAATTGATAGAGTTGTTTAGAAACGATTTACTGGCATTTGATACTGTCATCACTGTAATCCCAGCTATTCCATTAAAAGCAGTACAAATTCTGCTTTGTCTTGCAAAGATTTTACTGTCACTAGATGTCTCGGGTCCATTCCAACTACCTTACTCAGGTGACAATAAAGTAAGCACTCTCGGGGGCCAGTAATCGAGGGCGATCGTAAACCAAGCTATCGAATGTTAGCCAGCGAAGCACCCTGCCTCTAACCCAACTAATGGAGGAAAGAGTTTTATTATCAACCTTCAATGTTAGTGGTTTTCGTGTTGACAGAGCACAATTATATAAAACCTCAACCTTTATTCTACCGTGTAGACACGGGTCTTAATTTAGTTTACGTACTTGTATATGCTTGGAAAATTTAACACTGGGATTTCATTGCCAAAATATTTGTTGTCTCAATTATTTTTAAATTAATAAATTAGCTATTTTATTCTATAATGAAAATTAACATAAATATATACATTTTTTTTACAAAAAGCTAACTTAAGTTTATGTATCTAACAGTGGATTTGTAAAGTTAATTTGATGCAATAAAATACATAAACGTCAATAATCTAAGCCTGTCACGTTCGTTTAAAATCCTTAACAAATAAACCTTGCTTATAAATGACCAAATCAAACAAATTAACTAACGACTAAAAAAATAGCTCGGCCAAATACAGCAACTCCTGTCTCGCTCTAACACATCGTTTTGTAAGCGACATCAAATAGTTTGAAATGTAAATGACCAAAAGCCAGTTTTAAATAAAACGCTATAAGTACAGTCGATAAAACAGCGGGTTCATTAGCGACTCCGCCCGCGGGCGTGGCGTGGGTGTGGCGTTGTGGCAGGGTGTACACACCCATTCGTCTTAATACTTCAAGGATACATCAGTTTATACCAAGACTTCAAAACCAATAAAATGATTCCTAAAAGCTTACTCCGTTCCTTTTAATTCGTATTAAAGTAGAGAGGTAAATCCCATAACAATGACCGATTCGATGTTCTCAAATCGAAACTGGGCGTTTGTACTAGTCTTAATAGAATAGTATTTAGAAGTCATAATTAACTTCGCCAATAAGACGTCAATTGGTATGTTTGTACTTATCTTATAAGAATAAAAAAATTACGAAATGCAAAAGTCAAGTGGCACTAAGCTACAGATGCCTGATAAAGTCAAAGACAACGGACACATACAGAAGAAATTATTATAGTTAACAATAGATTATTTTAAGATGTCAAAATAATTAAAAGTTAAAAGTCCCAAATTTAGAATAAGGTATCAAAAAGTCAAGGTGATATTTCTTATGACCATTAGACGCCTACAGAAATTTATTAGCAGATAATCTAACCTGATACTTCGTTTACAGCATCCTCGAGCTTAGAAAAGAGAAGAGTCGAGATGCAGCGCGGTCGAGGCGAGGCAAGGAGAACTATGAGTTTTACGAGCTGGCGAAAATGCTGCCACTACCGGCTGCTATCACTAGCCAGCTGGACAAGGCCTCCATCATCAGGCTTACCATCAGCTACCTCAAGTTACGTGACTTCTCAGGACACGGAGACCCGCCGTGGAGTCGCGACCCTCCGCCCACCAGTAAAGCCCTTAAAGGTACGTACTATTAGTAGCTAAATTAAAATAAACCACCTAAATGTAAAGCTTCAATGGACTTAAACTCTAGTTACGATCGGAAACGCATTTCATTGTTATCGAACCAACAACATTAACGAACAGTTAAATGTAACTGGGAAACCGGCCATTAGTAAGTAATTAAAAAATAAACCGCCTCTAGATATAAGTTACACTTATGGCCGAATACTGAATAATGAAATCTACAATCTAACAAATTTTAACGGTTTTTGGAGTTTAAACGTGGCTTTACCATTCAAGATACTTTACATATTAAAATGTCGTTTCAGTATTTGGTCGCAATAAGATTATGAATGCAATGAGATCTTATACGTCAAAATTGGTGCAGTTTTTTGACTCTTTAAGGTCAAAATATTGTTAAAGTAGGTACTCATATTAAAACACTAGCTGTTCCCATGCGGCTTCATCCACATGAACTTATGAAAACTTTATATTATTGTTTACTTTTGTCAAATTATCAATAGCAAAGGTCAAATGACATGACATGACAAACCTTGGCAATCTTGCTTCTTTGATGTTGGCAGCAACTTATGGTCTCTTTCCCACATTAGCGTTTTTATCCAAAATATTTACCCCCTAAGTTTAATGGCGTGAAAATAGATAGCCTAAAGCGTGACGTAGGTGTAGGGCTTTTTAAAAAAAAAAAGAATTATTCAAAAATATGCTGTAATTGCTGACATCTTAGGCAACAAAGAAGTGTATGTTTACGCTTTATTATAATAGTATAGATACCCGCAAAATCATTGTTCTCTTTCAGTGTTAGTGATATTCTAAAAATTAATCTAATTAAACTTTCTAAACCAAATACTACACGTAAATAAGTTTAAACTGGTATAAACAGCAGTAAGATTTTTTTTAGAATTAATTTTATATCTACAGTCCAATTTTATTGTGGGTTACATTTAATGAAATTTAATTCCAACAATAGTAGAATTAGTTTACAGAAATGCCCACAAACGGCCCCTCTAAAACTATGCAAAATGACTGAGTAGGTTTAAAATAACCGGGAGGGTTCCCAAATCTGATTTGCCTTCGTCAAGTCATTGTCGACACTAACAGAGTTACCGCGTACCCTTATACAGGCGACACAAGTTTGTATAGATATAACTGGTACTATGAAAATAGACAACATGTAATGTTGTTCCTCAAAGTTAGTGGATAAAGTAATCTTAGTAATATTATAAATGCGAAAGTTTAGAAATATGTTTGATAGATTTTGTAGCATAAACAATCGGATCTTGACGAAATTTGGCATAAGCATAGAGCTCTTGAAAAACACAGGCCACTTGTTTTTTGTTTGTAGAAGCTCGAAATCTAGTTACGATTATTTTACATGCTCCATAATACTATGTTCATTTGTCCATTTTAACATACATTAATAAGAAATGCAGATATAAAACTTAACATCGAAAATGGTTTATCATTTAATTTGCATATTTTTTTGAACGAAATTAACAATTATGAATATTGTTGATTTTTAGCACATCCATATTGAAGTACTGCAAAATTTTCGATAAAACAAAAGACATCCATAACAACTAATAAGACTATTAAAGAAAAAAATAAGTATTTTAGTATCAAAATGTATTTATGGATAAAAAAATAGTTTGTTGCCGTGGGGCAAATCACAAACATTGACAAGCGAGGCGTGCGCGCAAATAAATGAACCTTAGGGACTGATTCACCACATCGCTTCAAATAAATAAATTACCTTATGCGTGTATGCCACGAGGGCAGCGTAGAGCAGTAGGACAGAACAGTACTGCTAATGTTTGACATAAATACCATAGAACTCTACTGACCTTACACTCGTATTGTTACATACTAGCTGTTGCTAGCGACTTCGTCTGCGTGAAATTAAAAAATAATAAAAAATAAAACCGATGTTACTCACAGATAAATTACCTTACTAATGGTGAACGAATTATTAGAACCGTCCCAGTAGTTTTTACGTGAATCAAATACATAATAGAAAACAAATCTTTCCTCTTTATAATAATAGTATAGACCAGCTGTTGCTCGCGACTTGGTCTGCGTGACATTAAAAATTAAAAAAAAACATCTTTTTATTATTTTTAGATTCCAGATTGGTATGCTTTGAAATAATACATGTACTGCACTTCTACTGCTCTAATGTTCTGTCCACGTGTGAAATAAGCATTATCGATAGGGAAATAGAGTTTCAGTCAACATGACTCACGCGTGTATGTTTGAGTTCACATAGTTTTGGTATGCGTTTCGAGTATTAATAAAGGTCTATACATGTTTTTTTCCTGTTTTGTCAGTTGACAATGAAATTGAAAAAGTTAACCTCCTGTTTGTTTAACAGGAGGTTAACTTTTTCGTGGATAAGTAGCGTGTTAGGTAAGTTCGGGAAATTGACTTAAATGTTAAATTCTAAAGTTAAAAGTCCTTTAAATTAAATTTAAGTGTTTTAATTAGAAGTAGTGTTTACAATACATCTTTTCTTTTTCTTGTTGTTAATTGTATATATTTTAAATATGTGTAATTAATCTTACATGATTTAAATAAAATAAATAAAGTGAATAAAGTATATTTTATTAAATATTTAATTATGTAGATAATATTTAAACGCTTTTACTAACAAACAAGCTATTATCGCAGAAACTATGGCTTAATAAGACGTTATTGCTGTATTTTATAATAAACATTCCAACCTACATCTTACTTATAATAAATCTGCATATTAATTTACAAAGATAAGATATAAATTTAAAAATAAAATGCCTTCATAGCTTTAGCATAAAATATTTTCCCGCAAATCTACTACAAAAATAAATCATTCGCGCAAAAATAAATACGGAATATTCTAGCGTACGTGTGCTTGACAAAGGAGCTTTTTTAACACACACTCGGTGAGTAAATGCGTAACAAGTGTACCAATAAAACGTCCCGCGAACAAATCCAATTTCAACCCCTAATGCGGCTAATGCGACCACGGGGCGAATCACTACGTACGCCGTCATTTTAACTCGATTTAAAGCTCTCCTTACCTATACACATTAAAATACATTTCTGTATTTCGCTGTATTTTATGAGCTTTTTATTATAACTCTACTTTGTATAGCAGCTAGACATATTAAAAAAAGCTTAACTGTTTTTTATTTCAGTAAAAAAGTAAATGAAACTTTATTTTTAAAGCAAAATTTTATGTTAAAATATGATCAATGTAAACATCATTTTTGTATATATTTTTTTAATGTTTACCCTAAATAAAGTCTGCAGCATTGAAAGTTTTAAGAATCTAACCTAAAAAAATTCATATAATAAATTTTGCAAAACGATGATGATTTTATTATCAGCATAATAAATTCCTACAAAAGAGTACATCGTTTAACTTAAAAGCTACAACTGCTATTTCTGCTTGAGCTATATTTTAACATTCAAATAAAATTGACAATAATAAAACAAACAAGTGGGGAGCAGCGACATCTGGTTGCGAAACGGAGGTAAATTCTGAACTTTCAAACGCACTCACGTACGCTATAAAGACTTTGTTTAGAGGATTTGAAAATACCCATCGATATCGTAAACGTCCCCTTTGAGATTGATAGTCGAGTACAATATGAGAGCAATGTACTTTGTATTGTAATAAACTTAAACTCATCTAGTTAACAGACTTCGAGAATGTGATTTAAAATTGTTGTTGGCAAAAACATATCGAAACTTTTATTGCAGATCTTAAATGTCTTCTAAGAGCAAGCGCAAATCTTTGACTAAACTATCGCACAACTGTTTAGTCGCGCTTTGATTCCTCTGACCTTCTATGGAGGTGCACACTACTCGATTTTTAGTTGTGCAACTAAATAGTTGTAGCGAAATAATCGACAATCGCACAACAGTTGTGCGATAGTTCAGTCAAAGATGTGCGCTTTAAACAGGAAAATAATGCAAGGTACGAACAGTTATTCCTGTAACTTAAAAGTTATTCATGATTTTAAAATAAGAAGAAAAACAATTAAAAGCAACCTTCAGGACTATCGAATAAAGTACAATTTAATATACACAGTAACTCCATGAAGAAATATCTTACTACTAAAAATAAACTGTATTCAACGAAAGTATAACAGGATTATCAAATAATACAACTGTTAACATCTAAATTGTAAAAGAGACTGCTATTAAAAAGTTTAATTAAGTAACAAGGGCGGGGCTCGGATACCGCGGGGACAATGGCGGACGAATTGGGCCAAAATTTTTAATCTAATCAATTATCAATCAGTGCAAGCGATATGCCGCTTGTTAGTGCTGCTTATTTGGTGAACGTGACTCGCTTGCTTTATTTAAATTGTGTTGGGGTTCGTTTGACAATTTCGTCAGGATGTTTAATTGATGTTCGCGGCTTTGCTATTTTACTGTTATTAGTATGTACGTTTACAATTAAATACCGTATGTATAAAATAAATTAAAACAAAGAGGAAAAACTCTATTTAATTTTCCTAAAATAAATGTGGGAGTTCACATTAAATTATTTAAAAACTGTTATACATCAACTTCAGTCGCATAAAATGGTCAATGCGAAATTTTGGTTGGAGATATGGGTATTTGTTAATACGTACTTCGAATAAATTTAGAAAAATCTAGAACAGAGGATGCTTAGTTTTTTTTTCCGCGTAGACGAAGTTACATGTGAAAGCTTGTACTTTGTGAATAATTTACTAATACTTTCTTTAACCATTTCAACTAAGCTCTAGGCTTGTGCTAGGATATGGTTCACGACAACAGTCGAATGCGATTCGAACCCTCGACCACAAGATTGGTATTCCGTACTCCATACTATTAGGCTATTGACGTTTAATTTAATAAAATTAAATACTGGCTTTAAAAATTAAATTGATTCTTTACTATTTTAAGAATAGTCTCTCACTCTTAGTGGATACACCATACGACAAGTTTTCATAAACCATCATCATCCACTTGCCCTTATCCCTTATGGAGGG